AAAAAGTTGGTTTTGGTCCATGTTCATTTAATGGATGCACGGAAGATTGTCTGGTTAGGAGGTGGGTTCAAACTTTCATTCTTCTCTGAAAAAAAATCACAATCAACCCAGACACGCACACAAGAAACACAAAACTGACCTCTAAGTTCCTATTATAAAATGAAAATAGCAAAACTGAACAGCAGATTCACAAAGCGCTGTCAAAGTAACCAGGCTGGTTTTGCACACTGCTAGACTTCCGGTGAAATGTTTCCCTTTTTGTGGGGAGGTTTTGCAGGCCCAGGTCCTGAGCCTGGTGCATACTGCACTGCACTGGCTAATGCCTTTCCTGTGAGAGGGGAAAAAAATAAACACCCTCCTGTAGAAAGTGTTGTGAAAATCCTTTATTCCACCCATGGAAAAAATGCCAAATTCCACACCTGCATTTGTTCCTCATTGCCTGAGCTGAAGCAGCAATAACAGAAATGATCACAGGAGGGGGAGAGTCTTCCTCATTGGGGTATCTCACGGCAGTAACAGCAGCAGTGCTTCATATTTCATTACATTTCAGAGGCACACAGAAAAATCAGACTTCCCAGGGGCAGTACAGCTCAGTCTTGCAGCAGTGTGTAAAATCGCCATCGTCCATCCTTTTCAGTATAAACATTTTTTTTTAAATCACTTTGTTGCTTGACAAAGGCGCAGAAGAAAGTGTTCAGAAATAGCTTCTGTGCAGTAGGCAGTGTACCACAGCAGTAGAGAATGGCACATGTTCATAATGACCTGTAAGATGCAGCTGCACAGAACAGCGAATGCAGCCACAGTGGCGCTCCTGTCCAGTTTAAGGACACAGAATGGCAGTTTTATTAATTTGTAAGATCAAAACTAGGAAACCGTGTATTTCACAGTGCCCATTCACATTCTGTAAGCAAGAAAATATCTTGAGATTTTTGCAAGCTTTTGCTTTCCAGATTGATTGTATGGCAGTTTTGGACGCACTAGAGGTTACTTTGTTTTGGGTCAGGAACCAAAACTGCAGTATTGGTCAGAACTTCCTAGCTGTCTAAAATTAAAAACCTTTGTTACACATAATGAAGCATTTTGTTGCGACACCTAAAATGGAGCATTAGCTGTTAATAAGACAACAGGGTATCAGCAGTGGCTGTTTGAGAATATTTGGCTCAAGTCAAGTCTTTTCTCAACGCTAACCAACATGCCTCAAGAAGGACAAGGAAAAGTAACATACTTGCAACTGTTGACCTGTGAACTTAAATTAAAACCTCCACCCAAGAAGGTCTCTTACTCTTCAAGTGCAAATCGGCTGCTAAGGACTTTCTATGTACATGGAGACTATTTACAGAAAAGGGGGTCCAACAGCTTAGCTAAAGCATCCTAATGCAGGCAAATACTGGAACTGCTGTTACTGCTAGGATCCCGCTGAACAGCAGCGTGTGGAATATTCCACGCGGAAGGACGGTATTCTTTTCTTAAAGGCCAGCGGCTCAGGCTGATGTCTTGACCCCTCGCTGCCAGGTGGTGCAGAGCCTCCCTCGTCGCCCCCCCCCATCTCCAGCCCCAAAACGTCTTATCGCGCTGTTGCTCGTCACCGTAGCACTAAGAGGTCCGTGTGAAAAACAAGACGGGCGCAGGAGTAACAGTTAAAAGAAAAGCGGCGTCGCGGTTGGCCCTCAGCTCAGCGCCAGCCCCAGGGACTTGCTCATGTCCGTGCAGACGAAGAATGTCGTCAGCTCCCCTTTCCCCTTGACCTTGATCAGCCCTCGGCACTCGCAGGAGTAGCCCAGCTTCTTCAGGATGTTGGACGTCTCCTCGGTCACCTGCGAAACACGGCAGCCGGTCTTTAACCCCGGGGGGCAGCAGTGTTTGCTGGTTCTCATTCCACCTGTTCTTAATGACCTACTGCAGCTGAACTGGACCCCTTTAATACTGCGCCCAGGCCTTCAGCTGCTGATGGTTTAAAGAGACCTGGAAAACCTACTGTGTTCTAGCCCTGGAGGACTGGAAGACTTATTGTATCTGTGAAGGATTTTCTAAGCTCTTGTACTCTCAAAGGCTTTTTGTTCCCTCTTCTTCTGAAAGCCACAGTATAGCTTAAAAACACAAATCTAGCAAACGGCCACCAGAGAATGGAAAAGCAAACTAAATTCCTCAAACCTTGGGGAAATACTTTTCCCATGAAACAACAGATCTAAGCTGGCAGTGTATTTTGTAACGGTAAAAAAGTAGGAACAGTTTTCTTAAGCTTTCAAAGTCTCCTTGAACATACTGTGCACAGATACAGAAAACCATCATAAAAGACATTATTATGGTAGAGAGCACAAACATCTCATAGATACAACATCAACATAGATACATCTACTGTACGTTTCTTGAATCTGCTATCAGAAATGTCAGTTATCTTCAGATTGTTCCAACCAGAGAGATTTCTTTGCTTTTTAACAAAGTCTGGTTTGGTCAAACGTGTGTTTTCCCCAGGGAATGCAAAAAATATTGATGTCGTGCTGTTCATCAAAGCACACAACCTCTGTTCAAATAGGTAATGTGCCATTTAAAGGAACTGCACTTAACAAGCTGTTAAAGTTGAGCTACTGTAGATGAAGTAGAGGCAACATTAGTCTACCTGGATCTTGCCCAGCTCTCCAGTACTCTCCATTCGACTGGCCACATTCACAGTGTTCCCCCAGATGTCATACTGCGGTTTCCGGGCTCCGATCACCCCTGCAATCACTGGGCCATAGTTTATCCCTGTCAGGAGAGGGAGGAAGACTTGGAGACACACTGGCAGCCAATAATGCACGTTCCCATCTTCTGTGAGAGGACCTGTTACCTCCTGGGAATGTGCTTGTCAGTACAAGAAATCCTCAATTGTAACACCCACAGGCAGAGGAACACAGGATGAAACATTCAAAAGGGAAAAAAGGCACTTCTTTACACCAATGGTTGTGGGTGTATGGAACAAGCTACCTAGCCATGATGTTGAAGCTAATACTTTGGCTTCTTTTAAGAAACGGCTAGATGAGACCCTCTGATCAATCCTCTAGCAAAGCGCAACTTTGAATTTTGCCTTCATAAAGTACTGCACAGGCACTTTTGAGTGATTTGTTTTTCAGATTGTCTCATGCATTTCTACGACAATCCAAACCGATTCTGAAAATCCTGTTTGCTTTAGCATGTGTAAAGGACTCCTCGAAAAGGCCTGAGGCCCACGCCCCTCCAGAGACACTCACCCACTCGCAGCCTGAAGCTGTTGAAGGAGTGCCTGTTGATGCCTTCCAGCTTGCCCATGAGTGCAATGGCGAACTCCACCATGTTTCCGATCTGCGTGTGCTGTCTCTCTCGGTCCTGAGCAAGCACAGCAGCAGAAGTACAGGATTGACTGGGGGCTCAGTTTCTGCGTGCAATACAGGCCTAGCCAAAGACCTAGAGCGGGAGAATTCTCACACTGCATGTTACCATCCCCTCCACTGCTGGACCAAACAGCACTTTCATTTATTTACTGATCATTTAATGACGAGATAAAAGATATTCTCAAATTGCATGTGGATTGGAGGATTGGGACCTTTTATCTTGAGTCCTGCAGCTCGGGTAGCAGCCCTTCCAATCCACTCCATTTGAGCACCTTAAGTAGAAGCAGCTCTCTGTATTGTTAGAAACCCTGTATGGGAATTCTAAGCTGATCAGGGCGGAATAATACAATGGAGCAGACTGGTAGACCCACTCCTGAGTGCTTCCATCCCGAATCAGAAGGGTAAGAAAGCAGGAGACAGGTGTAAGTAGATTCACCCTGCAACTCACAA